AACGCGCCGCCAAAAAGAAAGACAAGAAGATCAGGACCGTCTTAAGAAAACTTTAGAAAATCAGGAATTTCGACTACAGAAGAATTTTGAAGACCTGGAAAAACGACAGGAGAACCATTTCCAAGAAGTCGTAGAAGATCTGGAGGAACGCCTTCAGCAGAAAATGGAAAAATTAGAGATGGACCTACAGAAGACCAAGGCACAAGTAAGAACACCTGGCGTTCAAGGAACAGCGAACCTTAAGGCCCCGATCTATGATGGACAAACTACTTGGACAATGTACCACCGCCAGTTTGAAGCAGCCGCTGCTGCCAACGGATGGACTGACCAGGAGAAAGCAGCGGCACTCGTCATCGCGCTGCGTGGCCCTGCCCTGGAATTGCTACAAACTATTCCTGCAGCCCAACAGCAGGAATACGAAACATTAGTTGCTGCAGTGGACAGAAGATATGGCGACCAACATCGACGCCAACTTTACCAGGCCCAGATCAAGACGCGCCTGCAGAGGTCCGGAGAGAGTCTGCAGGAATTTGAAGCAGACTTACGTCGGCTGGTACACCTAGCATACCCAGAAGCACCGGAAGGGTTTAGGGAGGAACTCGCTGCTCAGTGCTTTATTAGCGGACTGAGGGACAACGAATTGCAGAGGGCGCTGCAAATATCCCGATTTTCTACCAGCAGCGAAGCACTGGTCAGGGCGCTGGAAATAGAAGCTGCATTTAGCGCCATTCCTAAACCGAAGATAGGCTCGGTAACGGTTGAGGAACAGCCAAAGAGTTCTCACATACGTTTGGAGGAGATGTTTAATAAACTATGTGAATTACTAGTGAACAAGAGAGTCAACAACACCCAGACAGAGAACCAAAGAAGATTCCAGGATATGAGGTGCTATGGATGCGGCAGGAATGGCCACATCAAACGAGATTGTCGCATCCAAATGCGATTCCATTCACCATCCAGAGAACATCGGCACATCGAAAGATCCCAGGACATAAGTTGCTATAGATGTGGCAGGAATGGCCACATCAAACGGGATTGTCGCATCCAAATGCGATTCCATTCACCATCCAGAGAACATCGGCATCGGAAGATCCCAGGACATAAGTTGCTATAGATGTGGCAGGAATGGCCACATCAAACGGGATTGCCGCGTCCAAATGCGATCCGTTTACCATCGAGAGAACATAGGCACCCGGAAATCAACACTAATGAGCGAGTATTGGCTGAAGAAAACAGAGCCCCTAGGATGTTTTCCGTTAGGAGTCTAGGAAAAACCGCTGACAGTTTGGTGATCAACGGGAAGGTCAATGGTAGAAGAAATCGAATGACTGTGGACACAGGCGCTATGGTATCGTTGGTGCAGACTAACTCAGTGCGAGGATTGAAGATGATGCCTCTTAGAAGAAGAGTGTATTTACGTACAGTTACGGGGGAAATGGCCGTTGTACGGGGAGAGGCTTTCATGGAATTGGAGTTAGGGAATTTGAAGTTTCGGCATAGCGTTTTAGTGGCGGACATTGAAGATGATTTTATCATGGGTATGGATGTGATCAGTCAACATGGTTTTTCGTTTGATCACCATAGAAACATCCTGAAAATCGGAAATGAGGAATTTTCTGTATCTAAAGAGAAGAGACCAGGAAATATGGAAGAAATATTATCGAAAATTGTGATGATACCTGGTGATACCAAGAAGACTGTGTTCGGGAAACTAGAGAAAACCGTTGGTGCCGTGTAGACGGGTACAAATTATCGACAACGAACCGGATCGACGACGAGCTACCTTGGGCAAGAAAATGCAACATCGCGAAAGCACTATCAGAGTAAAGAATTTTAAACTGAGAACTGACGAACAATGGACGAAGATACAATTGAGGAAAGACCAAGTGGAAGATCCAGACATCGGAGCAATACTACGGCTCAAGGAAGGTAACGGCGAGAGACCACCGTGGCAGGATATTGCGGACAGAGGGCTCGTTTTCAAAGCTCTCTGGGCTCAGTGGAATTCACTGGATATTGAGAATGGATTGTTAAAGCGCACGTGGGAAAGTGCGGATGGCAGGACAGTAACAACTCAGTTACTGGTACCAAGGAAGAAAGTTACCCAGGTATTGGAAGAAATTCATGGTGGTAAAACTGGAGCCCATCTTGGGGTAAACAAGACCTTGAGTAAGCTGAGAGACCGTTTTTACTGGGTGGATTATTGCGAAGATGTTAAGAAATGGTGTCAACGTTGTAAGATTTGCGCAGCTAGACAAAGACCAAGTACTCGATCTGGGGAAGAAATGGAACAGGATAGCGTTGGACTGTCGTTCGAAAGAATCGCTAGGAAGGAAAGATTATTGGACATTCATAAGGCCGTTAGAAGTAAGATTGCGCTAGCCAGTGACCGGATGAAAGCTCATTACGACCTCAGAGCTAATTCTACGGGATTTCAACAGGACGATAGGGTATGGTTGTATAACCCACAGCGCAAGAAAGGAAGGTCCCCAAAGTTAACTCCAGCATGGGAAGGTCCTTATACAGTCATCAAGAGGATAAATGATGTTGTGTACCGGATTCATCGCAGCCCTAGAAGTAAGATGAAAGTAGTTCATCTGGATCGATTGAAGAGATACCAGACAGGAAACCTTGATCGGGACGATCAAATTTGAGAAGGGGGCAATGTCAAGAAAAATGGCGTATCCGCCAGAAATTAAAAATGTATTACTGGTTGCCTGCACAACCGCAACGTATCCGCCAGAAATTAAAAGACTTTTTCAGGCGCCATCTTTTTAGTCAAGTCGAGAAGTAAGGGGAATCAGACAATGGAATTGTCTGGTATGAAGAAGTACGCTTTCCGAGAATTGGGGAAATTTCGAGAAGCAGTCAATAGAGTATATAAGCCGGAGCCATCGACAACTGAGGGAGTTTTGAAATTTGAATATACCGCGTGGAAATTGAAAATCGGACAATTTGGTGAAGGAATCTTATAAATAGTTAGTTTGTTGTGTGTTATAAGTTAGTAATTGTGTATAAAGTGAGAAAATAAATTCGTTAAGTATTTTATCGTGAGTTTAAATTAGTGGACCCACGGAATCCGTAACAATATTCTTAGGAAATCTAACCAGAAAGTATGCGTGTGGTTTAATATAATAATAAAAGATCAACTGAATACTATATTTGCCTATAAAAAGATAATTCGAGGACTTTTATATTAGAACTTTCACACACCAAACACTTTCTAGTATTTTGTACGAGTATTTAAAAAGTCCAACGAAAAAAAAATAGAAATAAAATTGCGCAAACTTAAAATTAACTTCTTACTGAACACACTTTTATCCTTGGCTATATAAAAATATAAAACAATTTTTAAAATAAAAAACGCAAAAAACACAATGGAAATAAGATTATGACATATGATTATGACAAGGTTATGACAATATGATGACAATGAAAAGTTGGTTTTCATAACAATGTGTAATTTGTACTTTCTAAAACCATATAAAATTGTGATTATTTTGGAAATATATGCAACTTTAAATGCGCACGGGGGGGCAAAGTAAGGCCCTCGGAAAAGACAAACCTATTGAACGTTTCATAAGTGCAATAAAGAAGGTTTGAAAATGGCATGTCGTGATGTTTGAGACATCGTTTTTAATGCTAATCGTAAGGCGTATGCATCCACGTAAGTATACATAGGTCCTTAATGACATGCTAATATTTAAGGGCGTGATTCTTGGACCTATTCTGAGAGAAAAACTTCGTATGAATGTATGTCCTAAACATCTTGATTTCTGAGATAAAGGGAAGTCAATTTTTCTAAAAAAAAAACGTTTTTCATAATAATTCTGATTTAATTACAGATATCATTATGAAACTTGATACACGTCTTCTATGCATCAAAATACATTTTTTGATAAAAACGATGAAGAAATGAAAGAAATTTCTTGTATATCAAAATAAGGCATTTTGATGCATAATAAATTACAGAAATAATTTGATATTTAGAAAAAAAAAATAGAAAATTTTACCACCTTCTATCTAAAAAGTTAAGATGTTTAGGACATATATTCATATAAATATTATATAATATAATAAAAAAATAGCAGGTTAGTCGTGACTGACTAAGTGAAGAAACAAACTCAAAATTTAAGTGAGGATGCAGTCAATAATCACCACATAGGCTAATAAAACTACTTTTTCAAATTTGTCAAGCTTTCGAGAATTTTATTCCCATCATCAGGACACTTTCTAAAATGTATAAATAAAAAAGGCATTAACATTTTAAAATTGTATAACAGAAAAAAACAACTTACGACTGAGTCAATTAGCAAAAAAACATCGTCTGCAAAAAAGGCAGAGGATGTTTTATGCTGGTTATGCTTAAAAACTAGCATCGTATGACATTGGAATATAAGGACATTTCCTTTATAAAATATTAAAATACATATCCAACGACATTACTTTTCTTTTGGACACAAAACAAAAAATATATTTTTTTTAGTTTACTAAACTAATTTCTACATTGTTGTTTCGAGCTCGATCACACAGTGACTGTTTAATAAAATACCAATGAACTGAAAATTCCAGAACTCTCCTTATCAAGAGATTTTTTTTTTCTCCAATATAATGACATTTACTTCTTGTAATTCTTTTTTTCGCAAACCAACAAACCATCCACGGTCACGAACTATCAAAATATATTCATTGAATTTATTTTACACTATTAAGGCTAAAAATCAACTTTTGAAACTTGTAGAAATACTTAAACAATCTTTTATAACCACGGAGAGGTATGCTGGTATGCAACCAACACCACAAGGCTATTCTATAATATAATATTCATATATATGAAGTTTTTTCCTTAGAATACGTCCAACACTCACCTCCTTAAATATTAGCATGTCATTATGGAACACCCTGTATATGATCTATGACTTTATATGATTATTTATTTCTATTATACTCTTGCATAAAATGTTCATACTCCATTAATTCTGGACCCAAATCACCTGCAGCGCTGCCTGGACCTCCTACCAACGTTCGGGTATCCGAAATCACGGCAACGTCGGTCAGACTTACCTGGTCGTACCCTGGACCTGAAGACCTACAGTACTACGTCATCCAGTTCAAGCCAAAGTATGCTAACCAAGCCTACAGTGAAATCAGCGGGATCATTACGATGTACTATTCCGTTCGTAACCTCAGTCCATACACGGAGTACGAGATGTACGTCATAGCTGTCAATAATATCGGTAGAGGTCCCCCTAGTGCACCAGCTGTCGTCACTACTGGAGAAACAGGTAAAATACTGGTTTGGATATGAACATAAACTTGTTTTAGTCTTGAACGATGAAGGAAACCTCAATTTAGAAACGATCTTATCTCATCTCAATAAATAAAACCAGTCCATAACGGGTGCGTCTCAAGTGGCTCATCCCTATAAATTTTTTATTTTTTCAGTTAAAAAAACGAGATTTGGTATGTTAGTATATGATATAAATTGATTGACGTATTCAGTTGTTTTTGGTCACTTCCTGTTTCACCGGAAATGACTACAACTTTTGATTTTTAAATGGCACCCTGGGATTTTTTTTTACTTTATTCAGTAGAAAATAACACTCTGAATAGAATGACATATCATATGTCAACTTGCGGTTCGTAACGAAACTTTGCCTCGAAATACCAAATGTGTGGTATCAAATTATTCGTAAAAAAATGCGTTTTCAAAATACGCTAATGAGCCACCCTCGTTCCATTTGAAAAAATTGAGATATGATTAAAAATTCAGTTTGTGCATTTTCTGGTCTATGCACCAACTGGTCAGGACAAGACACTAAAAACATTAAACGATCAAATCTATTTTTCCAAGGCTCCTTGATTAAGAATTATTAGTGTTTTTAACATAGCCATGGCACTCTAGATTGAATTTTAAAATACAATTTTTTATTAAGCGAAAATGTCAAAAGTTGACATATGATATGTAATTCTATTCAGAATGTCATTTTCTATCGAATAAAGTAAAAAAATACCGAGGGTGCCATTTAAAAATCAAAAGTTGTCATTTCCGGTGAAACAGGAAGTGACCAAAAACAATTGAATACGTCAATCAATCCTAATTTATATACTAAGGGCTGGCAAAGGTTAGTCTTGGGTCGAGATTTCCGTAAGAAGAGTACAATGCGTTTATAATGTACTGAACAAAGAGCGGACAGTAAACACGTTGCCAAACGTATGAAATAAACCGAGAAACTGTGCGCATCGCTAAGAGACGTGGAAGGGGATATAGTAGATTTGTCGCAGTTGACCGGTCGACCCAATCAATACCTCTGTCAGTACTTAAAATTCTAGGGAAAGGTGTACGTCATGCGTTCAGCTTCACGATTTAATTACGTCTCGTGATACCTAATTTGTTTATTTATTAACGAGTCGTTGTAATTTTCCCTATAGCTTGAATTTTTTTAAGTGCAAGCTAGAAACACTTGCATTTTTGGTAAAAATAAGTGGAATTGAGTGGGTGTTCGATAGTGGTCACGCTATTAGAACTCTGAATTCAAAAATCGATATCTCGAAATCTATTAGAAATAATAGATTGTAGTTTTTTCAAGAACTTTGTTAATATTTCTGCTGTATTTTCTTTGTAGACAGTATCTGAAAATCTTTATCAATAAAAAAATTACACGATTGCTGAAAATTGCTATGCTCTAAAAGTAAATGCATGGATTGTTTACAATTTTTGAATGGAAAAAACAAATTATCGAATTTTTCTTATGTAAACATATTGTAAAATATCCGATCTTGAAAATAAAAAAAAGTTTCAATATCTAAAGCGGTTCTTGAGTTATGGCCTGTTATGTGTTAAAAAGTTGAGTTTTTAAATTATCGCGATTACTGACGTTTTCTCGTTGAAAAAAATGACACCCGAACGATATCATTATAATTCCATTTCAGATGCTTAGAAACATGTCTAATGATTTTATCTATTTATCTCTTGAAAAAAAGTCTTTTAAAAATAAGCGGTTTGCGATCGTGATTTTACTTTACTTGATAGGGAAAGGCGTATCGGCAACGCCGCAACAGCACACCGTCGGGCGTCGCGTCGGTCGGTCGCATTTCTCTCACTCCGACTGAATAAGATCCCTATGCGATTTACTTCCACACATGTAAATGCCGACCCAAAAGTAACAGTTGCCAGCACGGTATACTAACATACCAAATCTCGTTTTTGTATCTGAAAAAATAAAAGTTATAGGGGTGAGCCACTTTTGAGACGCACCCGGTATAGGTTAGTTACATCATTTATAACTGAAAAACGACTGGACCAATTTTAATGATCTCTGATTTTTTGGTTTTGTCTCTGAATTGCAGAATAACTATTATAATATAGAAAAGATTCACGAACAAAAAATATTTGTTTTTAATAAATTAGGTCTGGAAATCCGCCATCTTCCACAATTGACAGTTCACACGTCCTCACGTTTATACAACATGGTCGAAAAAAAAATGGCGCCAGCGATGGCTATGATGGCCTTCAAGTCGCTGTCATTTTATATGTTATATGTGAAATGTCATCGATCGTCATTTCAAAGCCAACTGAACGTCGTTTTTTCTTTTCGATCATACGGTAAAATGTAGAATGTTTAGATGTCCCCCTTTCTTGAGTTATAACGAGTTACAACTCATCATACAGTCTCAGGGCTTGACAAAAGTCAGTATCTGAGACGGTTTCATAGAAACTAGCTTCCCATCTCACCAGTTCACATCTCAAATTTATGGCACGAATGGTTGTCGTCTCGGCGCACTCAGTAATGAGGTGTTCTGGTGTTTCCCCATTTTCCCACAAAATCTGCATTTGCTGTTGTTTCAATCTACTGAGGTAATCGTTGAGGAGACAGTGTCTTGACAGTGTCTCTTGAAGATTGCACTTACTTAAATCACGGAAAAGCTTTGATTTTTCTCGGTCGTAAGTTCTGAGAAACTTCTTCGAGTGTCTTAGACCGTTGGAGGATTCCCATTCCAGGTTACGGATGGAGTCTTCCAGGTTCTTGAGTTCCGCTTTAAGTTGGTTTCCATTTGGAAAGCAGAATAATTATGGTTTAGTTAGTGGAGTGTTCGCTCCTTTTCAAGCTAGATCGTTTGCTTTTTCATTGCCTTTATCCTTTAGTAAGCTGGCACCCTGAGTAGGAGGACTTTATTTTCTTAGCCTAATTTGTTCAGCTTCTCTAGGCATTCTTTGACCAACTTCGAATTGATGGTTACTGCGTTGATCGCTTTTAGTGCTGCTTGACTATCGGATAAGATGGCTATTTCCTGTTTTCGATAGTTCCTATCTAAGATTAATAATTGTACTTATTACAATTCTGTATAGTAAAGTGTCTCAAAATACTTTTAAAATGCATTAAAATAATTAATCAACATATCGGTTAAGTACATTTTCATAAATTGAGGTTTTCTAGTATCTTTAAAGCCTGTTTTTTTATATCTTTTGAAAAAATCCAATAAAACTTAAGTCCGAGCGACTTATTTATATTTTTATGTGTCATTGATTTAATGATAATTATACAGAAATAATTTGATATTTTTTGCCATTTTTTCACGCCAACGAAATGTAATTTTTGAGCGATGCTACTGCATTTTCACTAATGTAAGTGCTACGAGGAATTTTTTGTTTTGTCTTGTCCACACCACTAGTGTAGTTGTTCAGCACTTTTTATTATAGACAATCGAATAGATTTTTAACTCACTTTTAGGTTCACTCTCGAACAACGTACTTTATCACAAAAAAACTTTATTTTTTTAATAATATAAACAAATTAAAAATAAGCACAATTAATAATTAGTGTGGGTTTACGTGCATCTGTCATGCATCGTCCGTCGTTGATTTTGTGCAATTTTATTGGTTCATCTCAAAAATGATAGCTCACACATAGTTGTGATTGGAGTGACGGAGCGACGGACGACGCATAACGCGTCCATATAAATCCACCTTTAATGTTTAAGACAAACATTTTTTTTATATTACTTACGATTGATTATGTTGTTTGATTTTAGGCATTTTTGGTGTTTACCTAATTACATTATTCTGCCAAAATAAATATTTAAATTTCAAAAGTTAAATCTTGACTTGGTAGCTATTTTTGAAGCCTATCTTACAGAAACAATTTAAAAAGGTATCTATAAGATACGAGGGTAACTTATTAAATTTGTGATTTAGTGAACACCAAAAGGTCTTCTATTGTTGGTTATTCTGAAGTTCCTATATATATTTTTTAGTCATTGTTTTACTTTTCGTCTTATTTTATTTTATAAAAAATGAAAACTAAATTTTTTATGATCTTAATATGCCAAAAGAATGGATATAAAATTTATTCCATATCATTGGTATTTTAGTTAAGAATCTAAAATAATTGTTTAAAATAAATACCAATTAAAATTAAAAAAGAACATAATACATATGGAATAAATTAATATTTTTATACTACAGACCTCAACTTAGACAAATAACATAAATAGACAAGCTTTACTGTGCAAAATGGAGATGCCCAAGATGTAAACAGAACAATTCTATCAAATAACAAATGGTTTGTTTACATTTTGCTATTATATGTTTAGTCGAAACCAAATATATGCTTATTACTCTTCAAAATATATCTTTTATGCATAACACCCAAGTAGCATTTTCACGACTTGCGACCACATGTTTACTAAACACAGCGTTGGATTAGTTACAAAAAATAGTTAGCTCCGTACCTTGGGCATTAAAATAAATGTAAACATTGTTGTAACGTTGTGCCGACGTTGAACTAGTACCTACTACAACAAAGTAAACGCTTCTGCGACATCGAATAAACGTTGCCTTGTAACCTTTTTTGCTTAAGTGATCTTTAGGTGATTCGGACAACGTAGTTACAATGTTGGGCAATAAAGATTTTTCCGACGTCACTTTCAGGACCTTTTCCAACGTTATGCAAACGTCGTCTGTTTTACTAATTCCAACGTTGTTTAGATTTCCTTATTCTTACGTTGGTAGGACGTCGAGCCACTGGCTTTTTGCAACTGTATTGAACCATAACCTTAAATCTTAAATTTGCACTTCATTGTTCTGTTCAGTCAGACAGTTCAGTGCTGTTTTTATTTTTATAAAAACAAAACTTAATTAAAATGGGACGTAAGAAAGGCACATATAAAACTAAATCTAAATATACATCGACATATTACCGATACTTTATCCACTCCCTCGTTTATTTAGAATATAGACTACGGCACAAGTTAGACTCTAGGATGACTATATTAGGCAATCTTGCGACTAGTATACTACCTGTTAAGGCTGAACTCCGACTTTATTAGTCCAGTATGCGACTACTCGAACTACTCCATCTTAATCTTCAAAACAACAAAGTGAAAGCCGCCAAGTTGTTGAATAAGAAAATGTTTCGTTCCTAAAATAGCATTCCAGCTTTTTGAATACATTAATTTGAAATATTTGACCCTAAACAACACGCGGAAACAATTTTTTTTTTCGACTGCGAATAAATTATTCTCATTTTACTAAAAAAAATCAAGAATCTTTTTAAAACTTCTTTAATTTTAAGGCCCATTAGTATTTTTCAAAGTAGAAACAATACATTTATCAATAAAGTTGTTTGCGTTTAACATTTTTGCCTCGGGTAACGAGTTACAGAATCGGTTAAAGTATTTCAATAATTATAATCTTCAAACATCCTCCACATTTAAATACTTATGTTTTGTTTTCCTTTACTGCCATCTGGCATATGTCTCTAACTAAATCATAATAATATTTTTACTATAATTATCCCAATTTAGGATAAAACGCGACTTAGACGCCATATAATTTTAGTTTTGCATTTCTGTGAATTAGGATTTTAAACAACGTTGCAGTTTGTACCAAATTAGGCTGCTAGCCAACGTAGGTATCCAACGTCGTTTCGACCCAAAAATTATTCTCCAAACTAGTGCAGACTAGGGTTGGCACGAGGTTGTGCCGACGTTGCGCCCCGACGTTTGGCCGCGTGACACAACGTTGTCCCGACGTCCAAATGCTGCTTGGGCAATTATTAAAAATTTAAAATTATTTAGTTTTTTCCATAACAACTGTTAAAATTGCCTTATATCTATCAAAAATAGTAGATAAAATAGTACTTTAAAGTAGATTAAATGATACTTTAACAGCGAGGATAGGTTAAAAACTTTATTTCTTCTCGCACGTTTTTTAATTGCTTCCATTTTTGAAAATTTTTGTATTCCTTTTCATAAGTTATTCGGGATTTAAATGGAAGTAGTTTGGATATGGCGTTTGTCGCCTCAGCTTGAATATCTGTGTCTGATAATTTACTTATTTCGCTTTGAGGCATTTCTGACTCCAATTCAATCAGCAATCGACACGAAAGAGAATTAAAAAATATTGACTCAAAACTGACAACTAAAGAGACAGCTTTTTTATTTGTCAAATTACATAGAAACCAACGCCAACCCAGCACAATATTTTTTCTACTCGTAATAAATTCCTTGAAATAATAATTTCTGAATTTTTTTTAGAACGTAACTCGCTATGGAAAAAAATATTGTTTTATACACGATAAAATTGCATTATCGACTCCCGAAATTAATTCACTCGCGATTTCATCGCTTGTGAATTAATCTTTTCGGTAGACGATAAAATACCATTTTATCGTCTTGTATAAAAAATAACTATTTTATCTCAATATTGAAAATATTTAGAGATCAAGGTTTTCAAAACCAGTATAATAATTTCTTTTTTAATACATTTAAAATCTGGCAAATTAAGAACATAAACACCATAGAAATAATTAATATTAATAAAAAATTTTATACAAAACTAACAAAAAATATGAATTTTAGCTCACTCTTCTTTTGGAGGTGCTAGTAAGTAGTCTGATAATGTACTAACAAAATAACTCTATGGTCGTAGGAAATAAGTGTTTAAAATGCCTATGGTAAAACCATTTATTCATCATTAAACATCTAATGAATGAATATATACACTGATTATGTAATAATATATTAGTGTAATAATATTCCCAAGTAGCAAATTTTATTTTATAAAGGTTGTATAAACAGCTATGTGATAATTTTTATAGGATACCTCAATTCATATAACGTGCTATATGACCGTAATATGATAGCTTTACAACCAAAAAAGGCCCATTTTTATACAACCGTTTAGTAGTATAGAAGTTCTATAAAAAGGGTATACAACTCTTATGCAACTATTTTACACAGCATTATATGACTATTATAAAACTAGTTTTATTGTGTATTACGTGGTCACATCTAAGAAACAGAACAATAAAAACATTTGATCATTTAGCGAGGTACAAGAGTATTTTATTTTTTACCGAAGAATATTAGGAGCAAATTATATTTTAAGCGTGTCGTAAAATGAATCTAGAGGATGTGGATTGTTAAAAAGGAAACTTTACTCTACAATGAAAATGGCGGGTAGAGCCAGAAGGTACAACAAATATGTAATATAAAAAATCATTAATAGGGTTTAAAAAGTAGGGACAATTTTTGTTGCGCCGAAAATTTTACTGGTAAATTACAGGTATGTATTTGGAAAAAAATTAAAGCGCTTTAATTTCGATTAAGGTTTACATATAAATTTAAACAATAAAATAAAATAAAATTTTCAAAAATTCTTGTTTTTAATTTAATTAAACACTTTATTACTGTATGTGGGAATCTTATCACAAAATAGTTCTCAAAAATAACATTTTACAATGTATTTTGATGTTTTTAATTGTGCTTCATATAATGGCGGCCATAGGCCATACAAAAATTCTGCCTTAAACATGGCGAATTATAATGCAACCATTTTATTATAAATGAATCCCTTAAATAAGTCTTTGTTGTAAAATAAAACGGTATAGGATAAATATCTATCATTACGCAGAATTTCCAGGCACTATAGAACTATTTTGGACATATTGAGATTTGAGACAAATAGATGTTGCCAAATCTTATTTGATTAGTATTTAAACAAACAAACATGATCAGATTTTCATGGATTCATGCACGCAATGCATTTCATGCGTGCCCGACGAGTGAGCGGCAACCTAAGGACTTGGAAAAACAACAATAAAACAATACAAACATTACTACAGTAAAACTTTTACACCAACGTGGCAACAATACTTTGAAGAAGCCAGACAACCCGAGAGATTTTGGCTTTTGAAGAACCCAGGGAATTCTCGGGATTATTTGCCGTAATTTCGAGTTTTTTCTTACATGCTCTTTATAACTACCACTGCGTTTGTTAAGTTTTTTCCAACTTTGTCCAGAATTCATAATAGCTGTGATTGATTATACTCGTACGTAGATATTACTTTTGCAACAACAACAATAACAAAATAAATAACTAGGTATACCATTTAAATTAAAATGAGGTTATATTATACATTACCAGTTTTATAATGCAGATATTACAGCGAATTTATTGTGTTAATCACAATTTTATCATATAAGGCTATATAACTGTGTTGTATACAGCACCGTAGTTTAACGCAATAAAACGTTCGATCATACAACGTAATACAACTTTAATAAGACAAGATTAAGTAACTATTATATGATCTTGTGACTACTAGTTATATGAATATTATAGAACTCTTACATGGTGGCTATAAGAGTCTAATAAAATAATATGTTTGTTATCATATAGCATTGTCTTATTAAGTGTTATATCATACACTAATTATACTATACACTATCATAAAAGATATTATCGTTTAATGCGTTATAGGATACGTTGTAAAAACCACTAGAAAATAGTTTAATATGACAACTTTTATTAAAAAAACAGAATGGTCCAAACCAAACGCTTAATAAAATCAAGCAGTCCTTAAGACAACGCTATTCGACTGTTATAAAATAATTCAATCCTTTTAGAATTTCTTTTTGCTACTTGGGTTATACTTATTTCCTGTGATCAAAAAATTTATAAAAAAAGAAGGAAAATTATCTTCAAAAAAGTCCTCTGGCTGTTTCGCCACTTGCGCTGCAAGAAAATCTACAAAACAAAATAGTTATTTTTTATAATTAATCAAAATAATAAGAGGACTTCTTTGAAGAGACGAATCCGCCACAGAGGTATAGATGTATTTTTAAGGAAAATTATGTCTAAAACGAAACATATTCTTTTAGAACCCGGTACCGCTCCAAGAAACGTCCAAGTACGACCATTGAGCTCCAGTACTATGGTTATTCAATGGGATGAACCAGAAACACCCAACGGACAAGTCACGGTAAGAAAATGTTCAATAAAATCCATAACTAGGTACATTTAATTTTGATTATTTTTTTGTAGGGTTACAAAGTGTACTATACCACCAACGCTCAACTCTCGATGGCTCAGTGGGAATCCCAGGTCGTAGATAACAATCAGTTAACGACAATAAGCGATCTAACGCCTCATACAATCTACACCATAAGAGTACAAGCATTTACTTCTGTCGGTCCTGGACCTCTAAGCCCTCCAGTGCAGGTTAAAACACAACAAGGTATGGCAGATTTTGAGTATTGTTATACTATTAGGTCATGTTACAGGGCCATTACTACCGTTTTCCTGTTCAAAACATTGGAATAAGGTCGAGATGAGTTTTTTGCAACGGCTGTTGTAGCAAATAACACAACTTCTTACTTTTAATGTGTGTATTTATTGAAGACTAACAATTGAATGTACAATAGCATTGTCACCAACCCAAACGGTATATTATCTGGGTTACCAAAATACATACGTAAACGCTGACTAATGTAAGCAGTATTGGTATACGATCATTGCAACAACGTATTAGCAAATTGTACAATTGACAAATTACTAGGACTAATGAACTGTAATAAGGTCTAAACTAAAATGCTCCTACACTGTTACGCTGCTTCGGCATCTTGTAAACTTCGCACTAAAAGCGGTTTTGAAAAGAACGTTTTTCGACTGCAAGGTCTGCTAGTAACAAATTTAAGCTTAAAGTATCACGTAGTAGATGTGGCAACTTGACATTTTTTGCAGCATACCAAAATCTAACGCCTAATGTACCTTCCTTATGATAGAGGTGATAACTTCATCGACCACGGGCCCATTGACGTAGAAGCTTCAGAACAAGAAGGATAGCTGGCGCTTTCATGGATTTTTTTATATTTTGATTACTTATTTATTTTATTTCTGAGTGTTGAACTTCTAGTTAAAGTGGTCAAGAACCAAAGAAATTGGAATATATATTTCTTGGCAACGTTTTGATCTCTGTTCACCCCATCTTCAAAGCGTCATTGTCCTTGAATAGTTATATTTTTATTGTTTGTTGGTAGCAGTGTTGAAAAATGTTCCGCTTTTTAAGTAAATTGTCCCATATTTCTCGTTTTTCTACTATCTAGCCATAAAAAGTATTTTTTTAAAACTATCTATAATATTATTACTATGTATATGCGACCATAGAGAAATACGTGTAGCGTTTAAGACAGTGACGTCGACAGCTTAATGGAAAATCAAATGTATTGAAAAAAGATAAAAGTTGAATCGATACATTTTTTATGCAGTATTGCCGAATTTTACTTCAAAATTTCAAACCGCACAAGTAGGCGTTTATGAAAAATTATTGCGTCTAGGATTCGAACTTTATTTTTCACAATTATTTACTCATTTGATTTGCTCAATAAAATTATAAATGAAGAGAAGTTACCCCGAGACTGGGAATTGGGAATTATTTTGCCTATATTCAAGAAAGGTGATAAAACAACATGTGCAAACTATAGAGGCATCACTTTGCTTAGCATACCATCGAAGGTGTTTGAAAGAATTCTGGAACAACGATTAAAGGGGGACACAGATGAACTACTCGATCAAGCACAGGGTGGTTTCAGAAAGGGAAGAAGTGTGCAGGACCATATCAAACAAATGGCAGAAATAATAAAAGTAACGGGGAAAAATATATATGTAGCATTCCTAGATATCGAAAAAGCTTTCGATAGGGTTCCTAGACAACTCGTGTGCAATAACCTAAAGAAAAGGAATGTCCATTCAAAGCTGAAGAGTGCCATAATGTGTTTATACAAAAACACAAAGAACAGACAATGTGGTTTCGAATATTTTTACCGTAAATGAAGGGCTGTATACAGATTACGCCGATGAATTGACCAGAGGTGTATAATATAAACCTTTTTTTCTAACTGTCAGTTTTATTGTGCCTGGGCAGCAAGTATTAACTATAAACTGTGCTTCTGGGTCTACAGTTAATTTTCCTCCACTTGACTTTAAAAGTCACAAAACACATGTAATAACACGAATCAAAATGCATCATCTTCCAAAACGGAGATATTTGACATAAGTTGACACAAAATTATAACTTTAGATTTTTGAGGCTTGTCAGAGTCTTGCCAAATTTTGACAAGCCTCAAAAATCTAAAGGCGAGTTCATACGCATCGGCGTCCGTTTGTCGTTCATCGTTCCGTCAAACCAATAAAATTGAAATATGATCTGTCATTTTTGAAATAAACCAATAAAACTGTTAAAACCAGTTAAAAACAACAAGACACGACGTATGACGGATTTATATTTAAACCCATCCATAGTTAACTTAAAAAATATTAGAAATTTTTTTAGTAAAATAAATAGATTGGTATGGGACGTCATCTGCTTTTCTTCGGTCATCGTCTGTCGAAATCTTACCTGAGAAAAAAAAGCAGAGTATATAAACATTTGTTCGTTATTAATTAGTATTATTCTGGCAGGCGTTCCAACCCAACCAAGCAACCTCAGATCGTCAGACATCGGCGAGAGCTCCGTCACACTCCAATGGAGCAGACCTACCCATTCTGGCGAAAGCATAGTCAGTTACGAGCTCTACTGGAACGACACCTACGCCAAAGAGAAGCACCACAGAAGGATACCAATCTCGGAATCCTACACCTTGACAGGACTGTACCCCAACACTTTGTACTACGTGTGGTTGGCAGCGAGGTCGCAGAGGGGAGAAGGTGCCACGACCCCGGCTATACCAGTGCGAACGAAGCAGTATGGTAAGATTGATCTGTGGGCTGGAGTGGGGTATCTCTTAGTGTTTAGAAATTGAAGGGAGTTTTTTGAACACATACACGTTTGACATCCAAGTATAAAAGAGTTTTAAGGAAACAATGCGGTGATTTGTGACAGTGGGCTAATACTGCTGTCAGGTAGTTGCAGAGAAATGTTTGTAAAATAGAATATTAAAAACAACGTCACCATAAGCATAGAAATACTATTTTAGCTTAAGCTTTAGTATGTATATTGCTAAAGAGCTGGATAGTGAGAGTTGAAACTTCCATTTTATCTTAATTTTATTATATTAAACATCAAAAATAAAAATCATTTTGTATAAAGTATACATGGTGTTTCAAAAAACATGTGCCATATTTCGTGGGAGATTCCTCATATAAAAATAAGATTTATTTTTCATACCAACATAGGTCCGATTCTGGTTTGTTTCGTAGCTACAGCACCAGGGTGTTAAAGTCTTAATATTTTTTCAATTTATTATAAATTTCTTCCAAGTACTTTTAGTGTTTCGAATAAAATGTTGAGGGTAAAAGTTACTATAAATGCGATATATTTTAAAGCTAAAAAAGTGTCGACATATTCACCAGGGACGTGCATATGGGTTATCACTGGAATATTTTTCTAAAAAAGCATGTACGCCACTGACTTTTTTTTTCTATTATTAGCGCAATAGTATAAGCAGTTTAATGCCGATTAAAAGTTGTCTCTTGATATTTTGCCGATTTCGGCCTCCTTGATGAGATTTTGCAGATGAACGCATTTTTTTTAATTTGCCTTGATCCAATTCTAATAGCAACATTTAAAAAATTTTAATATCATTAACTTGCGAATGTTTTAAATACCTAATAGTATAAGAGCTAGCAACGTTTTCGAGAAAGTATTTTAAGACGTCTGGCTCTTTGATATATCTTTTACTACGCTCTCTGGAACAGCATGCGGCCCGTCTGGTTGCCGATACCCGTTGCGTTCACTACTGCGCATCGGAAAAAGATCCTATATTTTTTATTAATTTAGTCCTATAAATTCTAGTATTGAATATAAATCGAACATGTCTCCATAGTCATGTCTCATTGCCCTGACCCGGATTCGAACTCTGAATCATCGGTTCGTGGTCGGAAACTCTACGCACTGCGCTATGGAGACATGTTCGATTTATATTCAATACTAGAATTTAAAAGACTAATAAAAATATAGGATCTTCTTTCAATGCGCAGTAGGTTACACAACGTTTACCGGCAGCCAGACGGGCCGCATGCTGTTCTAGAGAGCATAGTAAAAGATATATCAAAGAACCAGACGTCTTAAAGTACTTGTTTTTCCGACGTTGTTAGCTCTCGTACTATAAGTACTCATTGATTCATCATCAAAGAATATTAAAAAAAGTTTATATAAACATGAGTATGGAAAAACATAGTTTTAGAGTTATAGGATGTTAAAGTTTTTAAAATTAGTTTTTTTGTAATTATCTGAAATACTATTATTTTTTTACTTGAAATTGCTGTAGATTGGACTAATAGTAATAATAACTAATAGTAATAATATTTAATAATAAATTAGGTAAAATATACAATTTTTTAATTTTATTTTAATTTTATTAATTTTGATTAATATAATTTCGTTTATTTTATCAAGGAGGCCGAATTCGACAAAATATCAAGAAATAACTTTTAATTGACATTAAACGGCCTACACGATTTTGATATTAAAAGAAAAAAAGTCAGTGGCGCACATGATTTTTTTTTAAATATTCCAGTGATAACCCATATGCACGTCCCTGAAGAATTTATCGACACTTTTTTAGCATTAAAATATGTGTAGCAATTCTAATAATTTTTACCCTGAAAATTTCATTCGAATCACTAAAAGTACTTGAAAGTATTATTAGAAGATAATAAATCGACAGATTATTAAGATTTTAACACCCTGTAGCTACGAAACAAAGTAGAATAGGACCTATGTTGATATGAAAAATAAATCTTATTTTTACGTGAGGAATCTTCCCACGAGAAATGGCACATATTTTTTGAAACACCCTCTATAATGGTATATATTATATTGTATATACCTACAGGGTGAGTCGTAAATAAGTGCAAATATTTTCAGGGGTAGTATATTTCGACCTCAGAAACATGATAATGATTTTTTTGCGAATATAAATTTTTGAAAATTTGGAATTTTTTGAAGTTTTTTTAAATTTTTTTTTAGTTTTAAAAAAATTAATTCCTCGACAATGTGGCACTCTACGTATTAAACTAAATTTACTAAACAGAAAACCCAGAAAAAATTCAGTGGATCTCAAAATTTCAGCAAAAAATCATTTTTTTAGAATTTTTCAAAGTACAGTAACTCGGTTATTTTGGATTATTTGAAAAAACGATAAAGAGAAAATATGTTTCTTTTATCGAGATCTACCAGCCTTGGAAATATTTGCACTTATTTAAGACTCACCCAGTATATAATCATGTATGTACCATATACAGGATATCTTTTTATTTTAGATTCTTTGTACAAATTAACCTGTTTCTTGGGCGTATATTATTTTCAAAGTTACAGTGTTGCCTCTTCATTTGAAAAGTAATAGTATTTTTTATATTTTAAATGGAACATCCTGTATATTACTAAATTTTTGGAAATCATCTTTCATTTTACATCATTTTTCTAGTATTCCTCTCCATGTCTATCTCTAATAGTTTTCAAGATGAAAAAAATTAAGCATATGTAATAGTTATATAGAAAAACAAAATCTTTAAGACAAGTGTTGGATAAATCATGCTCCCAGCATAATTGAAAGTTGAAATTTGAGTTATGTGTTAAGGAAAGTTAATGTATTCGATCTGTATAAAGTTACCGATTGGGACAGTGAGACAAAAAAATATTTATTTCTGTTTTTATAAAATTATTCAAATCTTTGATCAAATACTGACTTTTATTAAAAGATAGCTCAAATTTCAACAATCAAGATGCTGAAATCTTGATTTTAGCAATACTTATTTAAGATCATGCGTTGTGGTGAATATTAGGCATGTTTTTTTGTAAGATTTAACTAAAAAATAATACTGAAACGAAATGAATTTAATGTTACAGACATTTCTCTGCAATATAATATTTTTTAATTCAGACAAATTTTAGGGTGTAATTTATACTTATCGTAATATTTTCTTTATTTATCTCTAAAGTTAGTCTTAGAGCGTTTGCGCGTGTGTGGGTGTGCTATATATTGCATTTTTTTAAGCATGCAGTAAGTCTAGTCAGTGGATTTATTAAGTTGAATCAGCACCGCACCAGTACTGGCTATGTGAGAACTATTCAGTGCTCCAAAGCACATTATTTTTTTTGTTTTTTTTTTATTGTTTAACTTTTTTGTTTTGTCTTAATTTCATTTTTATCTAATACTTTTTGTTCTTTTGTCTAATAACGAATATTTACAGACATATAAAGTCGGAGACTAGGTAATTTGTTTGTTTAAATCATTGCTGACAGAATAAAACCATAGTTTTTGATTTCAGCTCATTCCGAACTTATTGCTACTAATAGTTTTGTTTTCACCGAGCAGATGCTAATAATTTCACATGTGTATAACATATTCGTATTAACTTCAACAATTTAAACAATTTACATATAAGTATACACAAATTTTAAATTGGACAAATTATAGGCACAATTATTTAGTTTAGGAACACATTTATTAGTTTTAATTTAATTTTATATATTTTTTTATTACAACAACAAAAATTGATTCCTAAGTTTTTTTTTCAATAATTTAATACAAATTTTAATTTATAATATGGTACATTACGCTTCAAATTGAAGTGTGATTAATTTTCTGTAATATGTAATATTCTGTATATTTTTTGCATTAATCTTTTATATTTTATTAATTAGTATTAGAGTTGTACTTCTTCTTTTTTTATTATTATGTTATTTTTAGATTCTTTATTAATTTATTTTAATTTTTCTCTCTCAAAAACATTTTTAGGGGTTTCCTTCTAATATAATTTTGTTTAATTTTTTTCAAAAATAAAATAAAATTTTATTAGATATTAACAAAAAAGAGTTAATTTCAAGTTCTCTCAAATTTTAAAGAGTTTTTCTCAAAAGATCGTAATAAATAACATAATTAAATTAAACTTCAAGATTTTGTCTCTGTCTTTGGAAATTTACAGAAACTTTTTTTTATAAATTTAACTGAGTTTGTTTTAAGTCTCAAATAAATATATAATTAAACAGTAACGTTTGAGGATATGTTTTGTATAAGAATCTTTACATTTTTTTATTTAAATGCAAGTACAGAAAATATCCTAGAATTTAGTATAATTGTATTGACGTATTAATTCTTTTAAATTTAGTAAATAATAAGTTAAAGAGATAAAAAGGGGATTCACACAAAACTAATCCTTTGTTAAATCTTTGGATCTTATAACATACGTGGATACGTAAATTTGCTTCGTTTTTATTGGTACCATATCACAGACATTCGATTATCTCACCGTCTCTGTCTTTGACACTGACATGATCATCTTGTCTCTGTGTTATAAATATAGTTATAACAGTTATTTAATGGAATTTTTTATTGGGGTTTTAAGACCACGCGACAACGTAGGCAACAAACGGTATAGAAAAGTGAGGTTAATTAAACACACAAAAACTTAGGAATCAAATTTTGTAACCCACACTCTTCCTTTCACCTCTCACACCTACACAAACACTCCCCTAAACACAAAACACACCGAGCGGTTCAACTCGCGCGCCTCTTCACACAAGAATGCGCGCGCCTCCCGAGTTGAACCCTCCGACTCCTAGTTAACCTATTGGCCGCTCGTAGTGCCCGGCGCGCCACCTAGCAACGTGCAAGGCGAAGCCGTGAGTCCCACAGCGATCAGGGTGTGGTGGGATCCCCCGCCAGTTAACCGCAGCAACGGCAATATCGTGTACTACAAGCTGTATTTCGTGGAGGCGGATAGATCGGACAGCGAGGCCACGATTACCAAACTGAACGCCACCACCAATTTCTTGCTCGACGAACTAAAACGATGGACGACGTACCGAATATGGGTGCTGGCAGGCACGTCGGTGGGCGATGGGCCAGCTTCATATCCTTTCACAGTTCAAACGCACGAAGATGGTACGTTTCCAAAACTAAAAATAAATGAATTAGTAACAGTTTTTACTCTTGTCGAGGTTGATGTATACCGGATTCGGTATGTGTTGTGGTTTTTCTAAAGACGTATTCGAGATAAGATAAGAAAAAATAAAGGTTTTAAGGTAACACCAAGATTTATCATAGTTTTAACACATTTCAATATAAACACTGACCAGCACGAAAAATGGACAATAATTTTTTTAAAATATTTTTCTAGTGGGCCGATTTTGGTAATTTGTAGCTCAATTATTTGACTTTTTACCCTCTTTTTGAATTAAAAATTAAATTCTTTATCTGTTTATTATACGAGGGAAAATAAAATGTTGTTATTTTGACGAAATAATGATTTAACAATAAAAAATAATATATAATCCACTTAACATCAAGGTGTATCTTTTCTCCATATTTTGTTTTTTTTCCATAGCAACTGTTAAAATTGCCTTATATCTATCAAAAATAGTAGATAAAATAGTACTTTAACCGCAAGGGTAGATTAAATGATACTTTAACAGCGAGGATAGGTTAAAAACTTTATTTCTTCTCGCACGTTTTTTAATTGCTTCCATTTTTAAAAAAATTTGTATTCCTTTTCATAAGTTATTCGGGATTTAAATGGAAGTAGTTTGGATATGGCGTTTGTCGCCTCAGCCTGAATATCTGTTGGTAATTTACTTATTTCGTTTTGAGCCATTTCTGGCTCCTATTCAATCAGCAATCGACACGAAAGGGAATTAAAAAATATTGACTCAAAACTGACAACTAAAGAGACAGCTTTATTTATTTGTCCAATTACATAGAAACCAACGCCAACCCAGAACAATATTTTTTCTACTCGTACTAAATTCCTTCAAATAATAATTTCTGAATATTTTTTAAAACGTAACTCGCTATGGAAAAAAATATTGTTTTATTGTATTTTTAAATTGCATTATCGTCTTCCGAAATTAATTCAAATTAAATCTTTTTGGTCGACGATAAAATACCATTGTATCGTCTATATAAAAAAATAACTATGAATCTTCTCAATGTTTTCTTTGTTGAAGATATTTGCTTTTGAAGAAAAAAGTGACGATTAATGACAATTTTAGCATTAAAAGTATGGCTTTGCTATTGGTCCTTTGCTATAGTTTTTTTAAGTTTTTTTATAGAAAAGTCATGTTAATGTTTGTTGGCAGTTATTCTGTCAACAAATAATAATAAAATGTGACTTTTCACTGACGTTGATCACAATACTTAAACAATAACAACTCATATCCTGCAATATCTCTATTTTTTTCACCTTAATGATAAAGTAGCTTAAACTTCGTACTTTTTAAATTATTCTACAGGATGTTCTAAACTTAAAAATTCAAAAAAAAATGGCTAAAAGGTCAAATAATTTAGCTACAAATTTCTTAAAAAACCATCAAAATCGAACAACTAGAACAAAGTATATTGTATTTTATAATTACATGAAAATTTTCAGGTATCGACTTATGGTACCAGTCAGTGTACAGTCAGACAACAGTTAGAAAAATGTGGGATCCATCATTTTAGAAGATGATCCGTCCCACTTTTTAATAATAGCAGGATTGATTGTATGCTTGTCGAATATCAGGGTTAATAAAAGTTTTTTAGTTTTTTAAAAAATTAAGCATGTGTTTTTGGGCTTTAAAACAGTTTTTATTGTTCTAAACAAGATTTTAACTCCAGAGTCAGGATTATGTTACATATTTTAAACTCTGTTTTAAACTATATAGTATAAATGCCATTCAAAATTAAGTAGTAGGTAAAGATAAGGTGACAAAACTTATTTCGATTTTTAGAGAAAAAAAAAATAACTGTTTTTATTAGTTCTGTTATGAGTGTTAGGTATTTTTTTCTATGATAATGAGTTGAGCGATTTTTTTTTCTAAAGAATATTAGGTTGAGATGATTACTTTGTTTTTTTATAACTTTTGTAACAGAGGTTTATTTTAAATTTAATACTTGAAAGAAATACTTTTCTTAATTTTTCATTTAAAAAAAAACACCAAACATGTTGAAAACATAGTTTTAATCATATTTCAAACAATTTTAAAACAGTTTTTTCCCTTCGTATGTTTCACAATATCACTGTAATTCAAGTTCTGGCACAATCTTTTTCCAGATTTGTATACTTTACATAAATAAAATTAATTAAAATAAATTATTACTGACAAAAATAAATGCAAAGAAGCACATCTCGTGTACTTCATGTGATAAAAATTTAAATATGTCAAGATCTGCAAAGAGGAAAGCCAAACAAAAATAATAAAAAAATATATTTGTTCCTTTCCTAGATTTTTCCATTCAGTGGATAGTACCATTGAATAAAAAATAATGGTCAGTAAAAATTTGAAATTTGATTCTTATTTGTTATTCTCAATATTTAATCAATAAAAGTAATAAAACTATAAATGATTAACTAGTTAAAAATGAAATATACTATTATTAAATTAACAAGTTTCATCTTTTAAGTTCCTTTGATAAAATTAAGTTTCACGTTTGGCTAAATTAATTAAAATATTATGGAATGTATAATGAACGGTTTTTGAATATTTAGAAAATGAATTTATGCTAATACGTACTATCATCCAAAATATCTTGGTGTTACCTTAATTTTTGAAAAAAAAAATAAACGAATCAAAATCTTAAATCAATATATTCTTTCCCCCAATAACCAGCTTACATTAAGGGAACGTAAGCTCTTCTAATTTATCCTTAACCCTTACTTTAATTCCTTTTTTATTTGTTTTTTAATTTTATTAATTATAGTTATTTTCTTATTTCGAATATCGTTTCATTTTTCCTCTTAGTATTATTTTATTTTTATTTATTTTTAAGTTAACAAAATTATTAATTTCTGTACACTCTTATCTGTAGTTATCTAAAGAAAAAAAATATAAGAGTAAAAGTCAAATTCCAAAAACAATGTTTCTTGACTGATAGTACACAACTATGGAAATGGAGGAGTGTTCGCTTTATTGGATTATAAACCTATTTCTGATTAATGTCTACATAAATATTCATAGTATTACAATAACTTAGAGCGGTTACGTTATGCACTATTTATTCATAAAGTTTGAATAGTTGCCGTGGAAATGATTTTCCACTCGCAAAGTTTTAAATGCCGAATAAATCATCGTCGTGCATTTATTCGAAACTAGAATTATTATAACCGTATTTATCATAATGCGAGTTAGCATACGTAGTAGCTTTTAGTTTTTACTTTATGTATTTAAATATATTTTATGCACTTTATACTAAGGGCTGGCAAAGGTTAGTTTTGGATCGAGATTTCCGTATGGAAGAAGAGTATAATGCGCTTATAATGTACCGAACAAAGAGAGAACAGTAAAAACGTTGCCAAACGTATGAAATAACCTGTTCACATTGCTAAGAGACGTGGAAAGGGATATAGCAGATTCGTCGCAGTCGACCAGTCGACCCAATCTATGACCTATCACCCAATCAGTACTTAAAATTCTAGGGAGTGTAGGTACATCATGCGTTCAGCTTCACGATTTAATTACGTCTCGTGATACTTTATTTGTTTATTTATTAACGAATCGTTGTAATTTTCCCTTTTTAAGTACTTTTGGTAAAAATAAGTGGAATTGATGTTCGACAGTGGTCGCGCTATTAGATCTGAATTCATATACAGCTATAGAGCTCTGAATTCAAAAATCGATATCTCGAAATCCATTAGAAATAATTGATTGTGTTTTTCAAAAACTTTCTTAATATTTATGCTATATTTTCTTCGCAGACAGTATGTCAAAATCTTTGCAAATAAAAAAGTTACACGATTGCTGAAAATTGCTATGCACTAAAAGTAAATTTTTGGTCGGTTTTTTTTAAATTTTTGAATGGAAAAAAACAAGCCTATCGAATTTTTCTTATTTACACATCTTGTAGAAGATACGAACTTCAAAATAAAAAAAAGCTTCAAATATCTAAAGTGAGTTATCGCGTGTTATGTGTTAAAAAGTTGAGTTTTTAAATTATCGCGATTACTGACGTTTTCTTGTTATAAAAAAATGGACACCCTAACGATATTATTACAATTCCATTTCATATGCCCAGAAAAATATCTAATGATTTTATCTAATTATCTTTTCGAAAAAAAAGTATTTTAAAAATAAGTGGTTTGCGATCGTGATTTTACTTTCCTTGATAGGGAAAGGAGTACCGGAGAAATGTGGCAAAGCCGCGACAGTACACCGTCGCATTTCTCTCACTCCGGCTTAATAAGATCTCTATGCGATTTACTTCCACACATGTAAATACCGACCCAAAAGTAAGAGTTGCCAGCACGGTATACTGACAATGAGAAAGAGAATAATTGATATTTATCCCCGATGCTAAGAGGTCGTCCTGTGCCGGAAACACTGCGACCTGTAAGGTCTATTGTATTTCTCCCCTCTCTATGTCTGCACCCTCTCTCCTATTCCTGTATAGGATGCGACCATAGTTCTTCCGATTTCAGCTTTGCTTTCCCAAAAAAGTCTCTAGCTTGCGATCTAGACCCTCGCAGTGACATATTATGTGCTGTTTCAGGATCTTTATCCGTAGAGTCTGCAGCAAAGACTTCCTTGATACAGGTTGAACTTGTTCAGGTATCACTTAACAGCCATGTGTCCTGTCAAGAGGCCTGTTGTAATCCGCAATTTATTCCTGCTGAGCATTAGCAGTTCTTTTGCGTTTTTAGAGCTAGGTCCTTGGATAAAAGCATTGCTGTGCCTGTGCCCCTGTCTGTTTCTCCAGTGGACATTCTGCTTTTCCCTGATCCAGAGTTTTAGTGCACTACGGGCCATATATTTGGGTATTCGCAGTACTGGCTCTGGACCAAGACATTATGCCGATGATCCTTGCCTAGCTAGCTCATCGGCTTTTTCGTTACCTTGGATGCTGCTGTGACCCGGCATCCAGAATAATTTAATTCTGTTCCTTCGTGCCAGAGCTCCCAGTTCACCTAGGCA